TTTGATAAAATGACGAATACACTAATTTGTTTAAAAATCAATGCCGATGTACCACAAGGTGAAATCCTAAGCCTGGTCAACCAGCTCTTTCAGTGAAAAAGGTATCGTTGAAATTATAAAATCAACAGCATCCATAACTGGACAGATAATTATTGAAAAATCGTGAGATGCGGTCTGGTGTGATGTAGGTTTCAGAAAAAGAAAATGTTTTTCTGAAACCTACATCACCCCAGACCGCATCTCACGATTTCCCAATAATCATCGACTAACTGTCACTAGCCACCACACAACTGGACAGATACTTCAAAAATGAAACTAAACGATCTGAAACCCATACGTGTTAACTTTAGAAATTATTGGGAAACCAATCGTCTTAAAGGGTGAAGTATCATCATCTCAGTATTCAGTAATGTATTGGGAGTACAAGTATGTTTTAAAGGATTTAGAAGACAGGGCGGATATAAGCTCATTTGACTTTAGTTTTTAGAACGTCTAATTTTGTCGAACTGTAAACACCATATTTTGTTAAGGAACTCCAAATATTATATCAACTTTTGTGCCAAAACGAAATTTACAGTTTGACCAATTTCGGACCTTAACCTAACAAACTTTATGTTAAAACGTTTCATTTGATATTAGTTTTTGGAACGTGTAATTTTGTCGAAGTGTAAACACCAACTCCAAATATTATGTCGATATTTGTGCCAAAACGCAAATTGGTGCACGATCAATTTCAAATTTTTTCGATCAAATTTGTAGAAGATTCAAAAGTAGTCGTTTTTACACGGAGTATAAGGAACGTGAAGCAAGGCCAGAAACTTTACGTACATGTGTCACATTCAGATTTAGATGAACCGCCATGCCCCTCCACACACTCAAACAGTGAAAGGAGTAGGGGCCAAGAAAGGGCTATTTTTTTCAAGTCCTAGAACAGATCCCTTTCTGGCTTGTGTGGGTAAACAGCTATTTTTGGTAAAAAGAAAAATTTGGTGTGCATACTATTCAAGTAAGTTAATTTTATTACTTTGATGTCAAAATAAAAAAATAATAATTGTACTTTAGTTTTAAAAGGGTATATATTTTTATAAAGAAATAATATTTCATTTTAAAAGTTGTGTTAATATTTTAATTGTATTTTCTAATTTGGTGGTCAAAATTTTAATAATAATAATAATTTTTTACCTTTCTTTATGGAACTATATAAAACGAGAATCAAATTCCATTTTAAAATTAAGGTTTGTATATTTGAGATAGGTTTGTTATAGGATAAAAGGATTCTTTAAATTAAAAATAATAATTAATTAAATATATTGTCATTTTATGGGAAAATCAATTGTAATTAAATTCACTAATTTCGTGGTGAGCTTGACCAATTAATACTTTACAATTAATTAAGGTTTTTAGTTGAGATGAAAAAAAGTTAATGGCACGAGAGGGATTCGAACCCACGACCTTCGGCTAGATACGTCGCTGCTCTACCACCTGAGCTATCGTGACCTCGTTCCACTCGGACATCAACTCCCCATCTCAACTAAAAACCTTAATTAATTGTATTGTAATTAAAGATTCAAATTTAACAAACATTTGGTGTCGTATTTACTTTGGTTTAAATGAAATATAAAAGGTGCCTGATCGATAAATGAAATAATTGTAGTCAGGTCCGATCGTAGAAAACCTCTGGGACCTTGTTTTCGGTTTTCCGAAATCAGGGTTGGGCCCAACAAAAAAAGAAGAGACACGCTATACCACACATGTATAAGTCTCCTAATAATAAATAACCATTTATACAATTAGAATATATTTATCCCATTAATGGATAGATAGGGAAAAAATCCATTAATGGGATAAATATATTATCTATACATATAAAGGGGATCCAGGAATTGTAAAAAAAAAAGAAAGATATACAATTCCCATCTCCCCCCTGATGTGAATAACAAAGGAAAGCTCTATAGTTATAGAATAATGAAGCCTCAGGTTCTTATATCCCGATTCTTAAATTAATTATAGATTTTAATTCATATTAGTATTGAATATCAATACAATTTTAATAAAATTGACAAATTTTTTAATTAATTAAGTTTTATAATTTATAATTAAGTTATAAATACTAATATTATAACATTTCGTTATTTGTGCTTAAAACACAAATTAATTAAACTTTATAATTGATTTAAGTATTAGAATTATAACATTTCATTATTTATGCAAGATTCACAGTTGGAGCCATTGTTAAAGAAAGAACTTGACAAAGACAAACCCAAAAAGAAAGAATCTTAGAGAGTGATTCAACAAGCAATTTACGTTACGTTTCAAAGCCGTGGGAATGGTCCATAAGTGAGAAAATTGGGTGTCGTACAATCCATAAGACATATGGATATTTGTTTTTACTTGCAACAGCTGCTTAAAAAACTGGAGTCATTGTGATTATCCAAAGCGTAAAAAATTCCAGGGTAAGCCCGGACTTAGATGAACATCAACGACGAAGCCAAATATTCAAAGATCAAATATTTCTCGCTTTTAATTTGCTGTAATCAGCCGGGTGTAGTATATCGCAAGCTGTTAAAACCTAATGAAATCGTCATGGGGGATCACTACCGTCTACAATTCCGGCGTTTGAACTGAGCATTGAAGGAGAAAAGGTCGTAATATGGACGTAGGCATGTCAAGGTGATTTTGCAGCACGATGATGTTGGTTAATCAAAAACTATTTGGAAACACGCAAATAGCTACTACGTATAAGTGCTATAAGTCCTACCCCAGACTTTGCTCCTTTCGATCACCACTTATTTCGTCAATGTCTCATGGCTTATTTGAGCAGCACTTCCGTTCTTGCGAATGATCAAAAAAATCCTGTAAAGACCACTCGTTCTTTAGATAGAATTCGTGTGCTGACACAAAATTATATACAATTCCCTAATTTCGTGGTCCGCTTGACCAATTAATATATTACATTTAATTAAGGTTTTTAGTTAAGATAAAAAAATCCCGCTCTTGCCAATGACTTTTTTATCTCAACTAAAAACCTTAATTAATTGCAATATATTAATTGGTCAAGCGGACCACGAAATTAGTGAATTTAATGATTAAAAATGAAGTATACTTCACTAAAGCTCTCCGTAGCCATTTCATTTGTCGTCGACAATCCAACCCGATTAAACGACATTTGAAAAATGGCAAAAAGGAGGGAAAATTCAAAAGATGCGGTTGAGATGGGAAGTTGGTGTCCGAGTGGATCGAGGTCACGTTAGCTCAAGTGGTAGAGCAGCGGCGTATCAAGCCGAAGATCGTAGGTTCGAATCCCGCTCGTGCCATTGACTTTTTTATCTCAACTAAAAACCTTAATTAATTGTATTATATACAATAATTGAATAACCGTTTTTGCACAATAAACCACAAATATTAACAAAACTCCTTTACAACTTGTTTACCACATGAACAGCAGCTTGGTGTAGATGAAATATTAAAATATATGGAAGCGTATGCGTCCATGTCACATTTACTCCCCGAAACAAGTCTCCCCTCAGAATGTACTGCAACATTGTTTCAACCTCAAAATGCGTCGTTTTCTTTGGTTCAACTGCTGGCCTTAACATGGAATCAGTATAAAATGACACGAACGAAACAGACGCTACCGAGAACTCACACAAATTTACGGTTTACAAAACGCTACTACAACCGATTTAGGCATACTCAGAAAACTGTGGGGCACCACCTTCAAATATCCAATTTCTCAATAAATAAATTTTAAAAAAATTGATTTTAGTTTAGATAGGGATAGAACAATAAATGATAAAATATTAGAAAATTTTAATTTCACGGTAGTCCAGTGGTTAGCGTGTCCTTCTGCTCGTGGACCTCGTTCTCGTGGATTCGATGTCCACCTTTTCCCCAGGAATTGCCTTTCCCGCTTCCCTCCCCCGAAATAATCAATCATCATTAATACTTCCTGTCGCTAATATGAAAAGTCACATGGTTATAAAAGAAATGTCAAGAAAGTACGAATTACTTTAGAATTTTCATTTTTTTTATTATCAGCGTGCTCAACTAACGATTAAAGCTTACGACAGAAGGCTACGGACGTGAGATCACTAACTTTTTATTGAGTTTTTTGGTAGAACTAGGTCCAAAAATATTATTATTAAAAAATTTATTATTCAAGAGCTTTTTTTCTCATAGGACCGACAATTAAAAAAAATAATAATATAAGTATTTTTAGGTAGCTTTCAGCCTTTGTTGTATTGGATTGGAATGTATATTATTTATTCCTTATACCACAATTATTCTTCATTTTGTCTAATAACTATAAAGTAGGTTGTTCTTGAAATAATAAATCAAACTTTGAAAGTCTTTCTTTATTTACAATTAAGTAAATCAAAAGGATTTAGAGTACCCGACTTCGGGGTACTAGAAAAGAAAAAGGAAATCGATTTTAACCTATACAATAGACGTAACTACATACAAAAACTTGCCCAGACTGTCATGAACATCAATTAATTTACAAATATTTACAATACAGTCTTCTATAATACATTCGATAAATAGAAAATAACAAACAAGTTTCGCCTCACACGGCGGACTTAATTCATTGCTACAAATAAGATATGAATATTGCACAGTATATAATAACGGATCCTGAGGGAGGGATGTGTCTTTTCATTTCTTTTTAATTATTCTTAATGAATCGAAATTTACGTTCACTTATTTAATGCTACTGAGGTATTTACATAAACCAATGTTTGACAATCCGTCATCTTTCCTAGTTTCTATAGTTATATATGTTCACCCGAATGTGTACTTGTGCCGAGTTCCTTGTTTTCTGCCGTATTTAAACACAGTTTATGCCCAAATATTTGACATTAAAAAATTTCAAAGATCAAAATTATACATTTTTCTTGGAATGTTGGTTTATTATAATTTAACCATAAGAGATTTGTACACTTAAATTTTTTTTATTTAGACAATTTAAAACGTAGCGCAAATTTTTTGTGTTGTTTAAATTATATATTTCATGAAATTGAACAAAAGTAGAAAAATCAGATCTTGATGAACTTCTTTTTTTTTAATGATTGGCAGAAAAGTTCAAGTACGTACATGAAAGTCGAATAGAAAATTTTCAAGATTTAAATGACGTTTCGTTGTTTAAAAATGACTAAAACATGGACTAGGCGATTTTAATTGTCAGTGTAGTATAATAATGAATTCCTACGGTTTACTGTACATACAAAATATTTTCTTACCGACATTTATAACTTCCCACATTGGAAAGTAAATTATTGCCTTGTCAGAGTTTAATTTTTTAAAATTTAATTTTTAAATACAAAAATCACATTTGGACCTTTTCAGGGGTGAGAACACTGACTAGAATATGAACTAATTCAATATACAAAGACTTATGAGTTAATATTTACACATTTAGCTAAGAGTATGGCACATATAGTTCTAAGTTGTACTGTCCGTTTGATATGTATCGTGTATTATTTCCATATTAAAATGTATTTACAGTTATTGCACTTTTTTTTATTAACAGATTATTGAGGAAATGCGGAGCAGTCCATCTGTCAGTGCTGCGCGGCGAACTTCATGCGTTTTTGCTTTTGTCGCTGATTGCAGAACCAGACTCGGACGACGTTCTTTTTCAGGTCGAGCTTTTCTGCAATGGCGGCGATCTTCTCGCCGGATGGGCGCGGTTGAACGGCAAAATAAGCTTCGAGAGAACGTTTCTCCGGTGCGGCGATGGATGTCCTTTTCCTCTTCTTTTCCCCCGCCGGTAGGACGCTGGGCGCGTCGGGGTCTCTCCGTTTGTTTTTCGCCTGGGCCTCCGCCTCCTCCAACCACGCCTGTAAGATCGGCTTGAGGGCGATCATGTTGTTGTGTGAAAGTGTCAGTGACTCGAACCTGGTAAAAAAGTTGGAACTGAATATGGAAAAAAGCTCAAAAGCCGAAGAGCTTGAGAAGTAAATGAAACTGATAGAAGACTTAGGGTGAGAAGGGATTTTTCAGGAAAGTTAAACAGTAATGCCGATTGAAAATACAAACCTGCAGATGGTGCTTTGTGACAAGGCGCCCACACCCGGCAGCTTCAGGTTTGCCAGGGCTTTTCCAACGTCGGCTTGCGTCACCCCGAGTTTTATCCTCCTCTGTTTAAACCGTTCCGCGAAAGCTTCCAACTCCCTCGGGTCTGTGTCGGAGTCGGGGTGTTGAAGGCCGGCGGCCATGGCGTGGTGGCCCGGGGGCCCGTGGCCTGAAAGAGGTGACCCGTGGTGATGATGGTGGTGGTGGTGATGGTGGCCGGACATCATCGAATTCATGGCCGGACCGTACGGGCCGTGGAGCTGCGGGTGACCCCCGGCGCCTCCTCCGTCGCCCATCGGCGTTAGTGTCGTCATCGCGCTCGAAGAAATAGGGTCTAACATCTCGAGACCTTCCATTCCATGGTGGTGGCCCATCTGAAACGGCATTCGGTTATCCAATGATAAAACTGAATCGATGATTGAAAAAACCCAACAATCAATGTCTGACATCATCCTTGCTAACTATTGGTATTAGGATTAACTCATTTAATAGGAAAGAAAACTATTTACCTCTTTCTTTATCAGGTTATCCGTTACCTCCATATTCCAGGTCTAAAAGAAAAACAAAAAAGTATTTTAGACCATTAATAAAGGCAATGTTAGACATTCATTGTACACACTTCAAGTTAATATCATTCAATCACCTCCAGTATACAAAAAAAAACTGAGAATACACTTATTTTAAATTTAAAATAGATTAAAAATTGTTTTAAGTATTTTTAAATTTAATTCTCATTAATTTTACATTGAGGCTTAATACACCAATATGGAATTTAGGCCAAGGTGGTAGCTAAGGAAGTGTCAAGATTTCATTTAACCTTTTAAAAATTTAATCAGTTAAACACAGAAAAAGTGAAAACAAATATTGTTATCCGAAGAGATAACCTATTGAACAACAAATATGAGAGATCAGATTATTTATAGGCAAAAATGTTTTATGTGTAACATAAAAATAAGGAAGACACATTTCAGTCAATATAATGACTAAAAAATTATTTAAAAACTTAAAATTATTATAAACTTCCTAGCAATGAAATATGACTGATGTAATTTAATTAGTCTATTTACAATACTCAAAGAAAAATAAGAAAAAAGTGCCCACATATCAAGTACCCAAATCAGATTTTTCCAAAATGTATAGAATTTTTTACAGGGCGTCCCGTGAAACGTCAATACTTCAGGAGATTAATCTACATGTCAAATGGGACCTAAAAGTACCCATGGTCGATAGTCTCCTTCTCAGTTGAGTTTGAGATATTTCACTTTTCGTATCGCATGTAATGTTAAGTTTACTATACATTTGATTACACCAGGGTATAAAGCATTAAGAATCTTATAGATTCATTGCTTTTTCTTGTAAACTTAAACCATACAAAGTACAAAATCAGAACATTTATTTGTACATTTTATTTTTAAGTTTTAGTCTAAAGTTGACATCATATTTTTAGTTATATTTTATTTTTTAATCAAAAGTTTGCATAAGATTTTGTTGATTATGGTTTATTTTTAAGTTTCCATAAAATGTTCTTGGTTTTTCTTAGTTATATTTTATTTTTTGGTCTAAAGTTTGCATAAGATTTTCTTGGTTCTAGTTTATTTTTAAGTTTAGTCTAAAGTTTACATAAAATGTTCTTGGTTTTTCTGTTATATTTTATTTTTTGGTCTAAAGTTTGCATAAGATTTTCTTGGTTATAGCTTATTTTTAGATTTAGTCTAAAGTTTATATAACATTTTCTTGGTTTTTCTTAGTTAAATTTAGTTTTTTAGTCAAAAGTTTGCGTAAAATTTTCTTGGTTATATTTTAGTTTGTAGTTAAAAGTTGATATAAAATGTTCTTGATTTTTCATAGTTATATTTTATTTTTTGGTTTAAAGTTTGCGTAAGATTTTCTTGGTTATAGTTTATTTTTATGTTTAGTCAAAAGTTTACATAAAATGTTCTTGGTTTTTCTTAGTTATATTTTATATTTTGGTCTAGTTTGCATATGATTTTCTTGGTTATATTTTAGTTTTTAATCAAAAGTTTACATAAAATGTTCTTGATTTTTCTTAGTTATCCTTTAATTTTTGGTCTAACGTTTGCATAAGATTTTCTTAGTTCTAGTTTATTTTTAAGTTTAGTCTAAAGTTTACATAAATTTGTCTTGGTTTTTCTTAGTTATATTTTAATTTTTGGTCTAAAATTTTCATAAAATTTTTTTGGTTCTACTATATTTTTAAGTTTACTCTAAAGCTTATATAAAATTTTCTTGGTTTTTCTTAGTTATTTTTATTTTTTGGTCTAGAGTTTGCATAAGATTTTCTTGGTTATAGTTTAGTATTTTGTCAAAAGTTTACATAAAATGTTATTGGTTTTTCTGTTATATTTTATTTTTTGGTCTAAAGTTTGCATTAGATTTTATTGGTTATATTTTATTTTTAAGTTTAGACTAAAGTTTATAACATTTTTTGGTTATTCTTATTTAAATTTTGTTTTTTAGTCAAAAGTTTGCGTAAGATTTTCTTGGTTATATTTTAGTTTTTAGTCAAAAGTTTACATAAAATGTTCTTGATTTTTCATAGTTATATTTTATTTATTTAGAAATCGTGAGATGAGGTCTGGTGTGATTAGGTTTCAGAAAAACATTTTCTTGATCGTGCCAACGTTTCGATCTTTATTGAGATCATCTTCAGGGCCATTTACAAATATTGTTTACATATAAAAATTATATTTTGGATGTGGAAAAGTGAATTTATACAATGCAAAATATATTTTTAACATTCAATCAAAGTATTTCTACTCACTCAAAGTGTTGGTCTTCTGTGTAATTGTGCCATTCTTGCACGTTATATTTTATTTTTGGGTCTAGAGTATGTATACGATTTTCTTGGTTGTATTTTAGTTTTTAGTCAAAAGTTTACATAAAATGTTTTTAATTTTTCTTATATTTTATTTTTTGGCCAAAAGTTTGCGTAAGATTTTCTTGGTTATAGTTTATTTTTATGTTTAGTCTAAAGTTTACATAAAATGTTCTTGGTTTTTCTTAGTTATATTTTATTTTTTGGTCTAAAGATTTCATAAAATTTTTTTGGTTCTAGTATATTTTTAAGTTTACTCTACAGCTTACATAAAATTTTCTTGGTTTTTCTTAGTTATATTTTATTTTTGGTCTAAAGTTTGCATAAGATTTTATTGGTTATATTTTATTTTTAAGTTTAGTCTAAATTTTATATAACATTTTCTTGGTTTTTCTTAGTTGAACTTTGTTTTTAAGTCAAAAGTTTACATAAGATTTTATTGGTTATATTTTATTTGTTGGTCTAAAGTTTATATAAGGTTTTCATGGCAATATTTTATTTTTAAGTTGTAGTCTGAAGTTTATAGGCTCTGAAAATACGACAAATTTGTTGTTTACCAAAAGTTGACCCTATTAATGAAATTTAAACTCATGTAATTAATTTTTCAATTTTTCAATTCAATTTTACTCCTGTAAAATCAAATTTTAAATGGTACAAATTGGATTTTTCTTTGAAAAATGTTTTGCAAAAACGGCCATTACGATGTTGACGATACCTTTTATTAAAAAAACGAAATTATTACAAAGTAAAAAAAACTCCTTGGAACCATATTGATTATAATAATAGACTGTATACTCAGTACACTGCATAATTAATATTATCAGATGTAAAGTTTACGAAATGCATGTAAAAAATCAGTTTGAGCCTTTCAATTATATATCAATTATATGCATTAATAGTTTGGTCAAAACGGGTATTAACAATAAGTCGGTAAGTGTAGACATGGGTTCAACTCTTATCTTGATTAACCGAAGCGCAACAGTTAGGCCGTAAACACGCCCCCGCAAGTGCAAACTTTAAAGTCATGAATAATAGAATAACAGGGTTATTTCTATAACAAGTACAACTGGTGTAACGACATGATGTGTGCTTTGAATTTCCATTGATGGTGTTGCGGGGGGACCCCGGGCCCGGGTATGATTCAGCGCGGGCTCCTATCCTCGCCACCCCCAGGAGGAAGATATTTCATGATTAGGGGGACCCCAGTTCGGGGCGCATTGACATCCTGTAAAGTGGTCATTGGGAAGAACAATTGAGGCCCCTGGGGTGCCGTTGCCGTCCGGAGAGTTATGTCGGGTATCTTTTATAGTCACGTAAGGGAGACTTTGGTCTACATCTTCCCTTAGGATCTCGTTCATCCGACCGACGAGAATTTCGCAAAAATTCAAAACTATTCTTCTAAATTCCCAGTAAAATAAGCAAACAATCAAATAATAAATGTAAATAAAGGTTCTTCCTACGGTTTTCCAGTTTGTTCTTGATTTGTTTCAAATAGTTGCATATAAACATTTAATAATAAATTCATTAGAGTTCGTAGTCCGATTGACCGAATAACGTTTTTCAAATAATTAATCTTTATGTAAGGTATTGGTTGAGATAAAAAAGTCATGTCACGAGCGGGATTCGAACCCACGGCCCTCGGCTAAATAGGCCGCTACTCTACCACTTGAGCTATTGTGACTTCGATCCATTCGGACACCAACTTCCCACATTACACGATTACACGACATTTGAAAAATACGAAAAGGTGGGGTTGAGATTGGAAATTGGTGTTCGAGTGGATTTTTTTTTTTTGCGTTATGATCTAGCATATTAGCCATGGTGACAATTCTTATATGTGTGTTCAAATTGGGGGGAGTTATCGTGAAAAAAGGGTCAGGAGGCGACGGTGGGAATCGAACCCACGACCGCGGCGTGAGAGTCTCTCATGCTAACCACTCGGCTACCGTGGTCCTCGTGTGAGGTCACGATAGCTCAAGTGGTTGGGTAGCGGCGTAGCCGAGGTTCGTGGGTTCGAATCCCGCTCGTGACATTGACTTTTTTATCTCAACCAATACCTTACATAACAATTAATTAATTTAATAATAACTTATTTTTATCTGTACACAATAAATATACAGTGAGCAAGCAAATAGTATACTGTACATTGTATGACACAAATTTGTCAGACCAGGAGGAAGTGGGGAGAGAAACCAGCCAATGCTCGAACTCTCTTTTATTTAATTGGGAGGGTTAAAAGATAAGAAGTCACGAGGCCATCGTATTTTCAGACGGCATGGAGGATTATAAGGGGGGGATATTTTGGAAAAAGTTTGACCTAGTGGATTTTCGTAGAAGGATAGTTTAGAGGGGAAATTGAGGAAGCGTGTTCGGATCAGATACTTCACGAATGAGATTTTAAGGTCTTTATGGATCATTTAATTAGTGGTGTTCAAGGGAGCACTCAGGATAGGGCGGGGAACATATGATTGAGAGAATCGTTGGATGTGGGAAGATTTGGCTGAACCCCACAGGTCGAATCGATAAGTCCAGATAGGACATATGAGTGGTGCATGTTGTAAGGCTATCTATCCCAAGGACTGGACTTGCTGGATTGTGGTATCACCTTGTTGTTTATGTAACTGTTGTTTGACGTTTGAGCGTAAACTTGTTGGTTTTTTTGCTCGTTGAACCTGATTCGCCACTGAGTGCACCAGTCAGTAATTACGTTCAGAT